AATCTTTCCATTTACCTTTTTGAACATATGAACTACAGTTATAATAACTAATTTAATGTTCTTATTTGATAAATCGGTCATGTATGAGTTCTTTTCTCTTGATTGATTTTTCTCATGATGGGTGGTATTTTCCTGTCAGACATTGTCAATTTTACCTTGTTTGGTGCTGGACATTTTTGTATTCCTATAAATATTCTTGAGCTTTGTTGTGGGACACAGTTAAGTTCCTTAGAAGTGGCTTTATTCTTTTAAGACTTACTTTTAATTTTGTTAGGTGGGACTAAAGCTATATTTATTTTAGATCTCATTTTGCCCTACTACTGAGGCCGTGATCTTCTGAGCACTGTACTTGATGTCCTGTAAATTATATTTTCTGTTCTGTTTGGTAGGTATTCCTGGCTCTGTGTGAGCCATGGGCAGTGATATAATAGGCCTTCTGTGGGCCAATTGTTAAAATGTCAGGAAGCTTATGAGCTGGTTTAATTCTTAATAGAATTAAATCATATAAGCTTATAATTAAATCAATTATATTAAGAACAAAAGTAATAAATACTCAAAACTCATTACCTTCTACTTATATTATTACACTTTACTATTTTTGTGCTCTGGTGGTAATTTAAATCTATTGTATCTCTGTACTAGAAATACTATACAGTGTTTCATGTGCAGCAATGTATCTCTTCCTAACTTTACACTCAGTGTTAACACTTGATGGGTGGGAATAATGACACCACAGACATTGTTAACCCTATAAACCAACTTCCCCCAGTTGTTACACATTTTCCAGCATATCCCTGGCTATGGATAATCTTTCTCTGTACTCCTTATGAGTGATTTTCTAGTGTGATCAGTAGTCAGCTCAAGACTTTAAGTGGATCTCTGCCGATATTCTGAGGTCTTATTTCACTTTCTCCACAGCTCCTACCTCTCAACTCTGGTTCAGTGTTTTGGGGATCATAGCTACTTTGGTCTCCCCAGACTCCTCATTTCATCTTCTTAACTCAGGGAGACTGCTATGCTTTGTCTGGGATAATTCTCTCTGCTCTGCAGCCTGGAAACTAAGCAGCAATCTGAGGCAATTGGCTTTGCTTTATGTTTCACCTCTTTCATTGATCACTGTCCCTCTTTATCTGATTTTCAGTGTCTGATGAACAACAACTTTAATATATTTGTTCAGATTTTTAGTTGTTTCAGGTGGGAGCATAAATCTCATTTCTGTTACTCTGCCTTGGCTAGAAGCAGAAGTCACTTGGGTTTAGATAAGTGTGCATTTTAGATCACTCTGTAGACCTTGCACTTGAAAGGGACAAGACTTAAAGTGGAGGAATCAATTACAAGGCAGGTGCATTAATTAGTTCAAATGATGATGAGGCCCAAGTTTGGTCATAGTTGATGAAACTAGAAAGGTCAGGAAGGATTTGAAAAATATGTAGGGAGGAGAATCTAGTTCAGAGTTTCTAAAAGGGTGGATTAGATCATGTACTATTTACATCTCAGTCATCAGTAGTATATGAAAAAATTAAGATTCTGCGCTCTGACCCACGTTTATTGAATCTAAATTTCTAAGGATAAGGTTTAGAAATTTTCATTTCAAACAAATACCTAGGGTAATGCTTACAGCTAATGTCTCAGAAGAAACTGATGCAGTTTTTTCAAAATATGTTCATCCTTGGGGAGCCCCCATTGGGACTGGGGATGACCTGAAGTGGTTAATTAAAAATAAAGATTTACGCATGCATGTCCAGACTGCTGAATCTGAATTTCTGGGTTGATTGGTTTCAAGAATTTCTTGGGCACACTGAAGTGTGAAAACCAATAAACTAAAGTACTTCATAGACATAATCTCTTTTGAGCCTTACTGGTATTATATCTCTTGTTTTATAGATGAAAAAATGAAATGCAGAAGCACAAAGTGATTTGCCTACGATCAGTTGGTATTGGGGGCAGAATTCATACATCTCTTCCACCAAATCTGATGCTCTTTGTGCTGTCTCCGTTGACACTGAAATAGGCTTATCTCTAAAATCTATAGAAAGCATCCAAGACACTGGGACTTGTGGTTCCAAATACATTAAATGGGCCAGGAAAATGTGCTCTTTTTTGGTCATACTTTGTACAAATTAAAATTTGGTTCATCACGGCCCTGGGTCTCAGTCCAGCCGAGTGAGTGATCCTGCCACGACCCTGACCAAGACCTCACCAAAATGCCATCTCAAGTGGGACATGCCATGGAAACCATCATGTTCACGTTTCACAGATTTGCTGGGGATAAGGGCTGCTTAACAAAGGAGGACCTGAGAGTAGTCATGGAAAAGAAGTTTCCTAGGTTTTTATCAAATCTGACTGGGGACAAAATAATGAAAGACCTGGACCAGTGCCGAAATGACAGTGGGATTCCAGAACTTCTTTTCACTAATTGCTAGGTTCACCATTGTGTGCAGTGACTATTTTGTAGTACACCTGAAGCAGAAGGGAAGGAAGTTGGCAGCACTGAGCAGTTAACTTCTGCCCTAATAAGAGTTAGGCCAGTGGGTCACTTAAGGAATCTCTGTCCCACAGCTTCCCTTCCCCCCTGTATAAAGATTTCTTGAGCAGACTGGGACCCTTAGAAAATGTACAAATAAAATTCCTCCCCCATTTGACCAGAGAAAGAAAAGCCGAGTAAGGCCAGATAAGTTTTTTATTTTATTTTTGTTAATATTCACCTGAGGATATTTTTTCATTGATTTTTAGATAGAGAGGAAGGGAGGGAGGGTGGGGGAGAGAGAGAGAAAAAACATCAATGTGAGAGAGAGACATTGATTGGTCGCCTCCTGCATGACCCTGACCAGGGCCCGGGATCAAACCTACAACCTAGGTACATGCCCTTGACCAGGAATCAAACTGCGACCCTTCAGTCCATAGGCAGATACTCTAACCACTGAGCAAAACCGGCCAGGGCAAGTTTTTGATTTTTATATTGTTTGCATTCTCTTGCCCTCAATGAACAAAGTTTTGTTTTTTTTTTAGTTCCTTAAAAAAAAAAAAAAAAAAAAAAAAAAAGTTCAGCTCTCTATAGCAAGTAACTGAAAAGCTTAATTGTATGGGAAAGGTGTTTCTGTCTTTGACCATTATCCCAAATGCTTTTTACAACTGACTTTGAATATCCCTTTCTATTTCTTTTAAAATTATTTAAAGACATAATAGTGCACATATTTGATATTTTCACTTATAACACTGAAAAATTGGGTAGCAAATATGAGTCTATATAGTATAATCTTTCTTTTGAGTTTTTTTCAAGGTCTTAAACTAAAAACAACCTCAGTGCCTTATAATTTAGGTTGCATTTAGCTTAGACCTCAGAGTTTCATTTTTATAGTAAGTTGTGTGGCTTATAACTTTGCTGTATTGTTAGAACTGATACTATTTTCTAGTGAGATTTTCTGTAGTCTTTTGAAGTGATTTCACATGTGCCATGACTCTGAGGTCCCGTAATCTGTTTGACACAGTAGTACCAGTGTTAGCTTGCAGACAGTAGGAAAAGTAATTCTTTTCAGTCAAGATTGGTTTTTGGATTTGCTTTTGAAATTCTTGAATAGTCAATGAATTTTATTAGTACGTGAAAACAAGCAAAGCTCTGTGGCAGGGAATAAATAAAGAGGTCTTAGGAATAGGATTTAAATGGGTTGTTTCCCTTCTTGTATGCTTTTAAAACACAAAATAGGTAATTTTAAACAATTTTTGCAAGTAAGTTACTTCCAAAAGTAAGTAGTTAAATAATTCAAATAAAAATGGTAGATTTTCACAATTCAGAGTAGTTTATTTGCTCCAAAAAGCATATGGCATTTGTACAGGATGCTTAAGTTTGAAATGTAGAGTGAGTGAAATGAACTGTACAATGTAGGGAATATAAGAGTTTTGACTTGTTTAACTTGTAAGCACTATTGTAAGCACATCCATGAAACAGCTATCTGCATTTTCTTGGTATATTTTTATTCGGTTTCTTTTTATTACATAGGAATTTGTAATGACATACCATGGTGAATCATTTTAGAATGCCACTCATAGGTTTCTGTCTTTGATATATAAGAATAAGTATATAATGCTTTTCTTCATTGTAAGCACATCGATGTTTTTTTCAGACTTGTGATCTATAACCAAGTCTATGTTTTTGTTTTGTTTTTTATTCTCACCCGAGGACATTTTTGCATTTATCTTCAGATATAGTGGGAGGGAGAGAGGGTGGAAGAGTGAGAGAGAGAAACATCGATGTGAGAGAGACACATTGAGTGGTTGCCACCCACACAACCCCATTCGGGGCTGGGGACAAACTGCAACCGAGGTATTTGCCCTTTGCAGGAACCGACGCTCTGGTCCGCGGGCCGACACTCTAACCGCTGAGTCAAACCGGCCAGGGCCCAAGTCTATGTTTTTAAGAAGCTTACTTTTAAGGAATGTTTTGTACAGTTACATCTTGGTTTATTTCTTCATTTATTTTGTCACATTTATTTTCTATTTACTTCCAAAATAATGTTGACAAATTAGTCAGAGGGGTACTCTAACCAAAGCAAAAATATTACTTTAAAAGGCATCGAATATATTAAAGTCACATTTAAGGGATCTTCTTTTACTGCATTCACAAGCATTATAAGTTTATTCCCTAATATTTTTGTAAAACACAAAAGTAGTACTTTTCTATTAATGTCTGAGAAATTACAGACTTCTGGAAAAAGATATATATCTATGTTGGTAGATAAAAGGTATCTAAGGAGCTTTTGAGTTCCTAAGAATTTAAATTTTGAAATATTTTATGTGAGTGGGTACTCTGAGAAGCATTTGTAAGAGTGTTATTAGCAAATTATCATCAAAGATAGTACATTTTGTAGCTAAATATAAGAAATTATGTTTTTGTAATTTATTAGAAAATGCAGTATGCTGTGTATTTAGAAATATAAGTTTTATCCACAAATCTGTAAACAGTTACACATCCATAGTGACTATATTGTGGTTTCCCTTCACAGATAATCAAGTTGTGCTAGTACAACCATATAAATAATTAATACCTGAAGTCTCAATGTAACATGGACATTAACACTGCTGACAGATAAATACAGACGCTTGGGAATCAAATACTAGGCGAAACACTTTTTAAAAGGTAAGAAAAATGTAATATTAATTAAGACCAAGCCGGCTGTAGTGTTAGTAGAAGTAATTGACTAAATTTTGTTTTTTAGTGTATCAGACTGTTTAGGAACACATCTACATGATCCTGTCTATCTGAAAACTGGTAGAACTCAGCTGTAAATATCAGTTCTTTTGTGAAAATAGAAGTTGCAGATATCCTTGCTTGGTAAATATACTAATGGATGATGTTCCTATATAAACCCTATACAAAAAGGTAGTAATGTGGCTACCTACTAGAACTTGATCGAGTGCTAGATTGTGCATATTAGTGTATATCAAGACACATCTTATATTGTGGATTCTCTTTGTCTCTGATGATTGCCATCACCACCACGCACTATAGAATGTAATGTTTAACATGTTTGTGAAAGGTTGGGTACAAAGGAACTGGCATTTGGAATCTTCGTTATACAAAGAGTACATTTTCAAATTAAGGGTTACTTTTTTATAGGACCATGTTTTCACTATGTACCCTCCTCATATCAATTTCAAACATTTTTTTTTGAATGTATTAAGTTATTTTACGTAGATAGTTTTCCTAACTTGTGCTTTTCAAGAATTTACAAGGTATATTTGGGAAAGGTTGCGTCTATAGATACTAGATATCAGCCCTATTTGCTTTGTAGCTGACTTAAAACCATTATCTATTTTTATTACACAGAAACTCTAGTTTACAAAGCTTGATAAATGCATCAGTTTTAAAATTGTAATCCTTCACTAAAAATAGTGAAGGATTTAGAATATCTAGTTTTATGTTTATAATAAAGTGATCATCTCCATCATAAACATCGCTAGTCTTTTTCCTGGTGTTTTTCCTTGTTTCCAAATGGGCATTCATAATAACCCATTTAGCCAGATTCTCTGTAAAGGATATCTTATCTAAGGCAGTCTTTGGGTCACCTCCAAAAAATATTGCCTGAGACTCTAGAAAAAGAACTGAGTCACATTTTTACTCAAACTAATATTGAGCTGTTATAAGGATTTAGTATATGTCAAGCTTGAGCTTTTTTTGTTGGTTCCCAGAAATCCTGTTCTAGTTTCTTAGTATCTCTGTGGCTACAAAATTGCCAAGAAGCACCAACAATGTTATAGTGAACGGATACTCTGTTACCTGCTGTTTTCTTTTATTATAGAAGGGGTGAATCTATTAGCATAAGTTAATGTGCTTCTTTAATTCTTTTTTTTTTTATTATTATTTTATTTTAAAGAAAGGAATTTAGGAGGTTCTAGTATTCTCCATGGCCGAAGCTGAGAGTCTGAAACCCTGATGCTTAAGCTCTATTCTAGATCATAGCTCCAACTCCTTCAGGATATAAGGAAAAGAGATAATATTTCCACAATGATAGATCTTTGGTTATACAGGTAAGTTATTTAGTTTTGTGGTAGTGGAGATATCTACAGTTTAATCCCCCCCCCCCAAAGGGGCGGGAGCTTCTTATTTTTCTATGTACTTCTCTGCATGAAAAATTGTGCAGTTCATAGGAATGTGGAGCTATAGGGAATGGGTAGGGAGGAAATGTGTTTCCACTCTTTTCCCAACAGGGGAATATATGAAGTAGTTATGTACATTGGCATTTCTAGAGCATATTTGACACCCTAGGTATTTTTGATTCCAGGACCTTATGAAATTCCTTGACTTTTCTTTCTCCCCAATTGTTTAAGTGTGTATTCATTTTGATCTACCTACCTACCTCCCTCCCCATCCATCCATCCATCCATCCATCCTATTTATCCTGTCTATCGTGTGTCTGTCTCAATGGGAAAGAAAGGAGATCCTTTTATATAAGACAATACATAATAGAGTTACCAGGCTTCAGAGAGGTGAATATTAAGAACCTTAAGTTGAATTGCATAGGTGGTTCTAAGGTTTCACTCTCCTACTTTTAACCTGATAGTAGAAATAATGGTAATTGCTCGACTGAAGAAATTTATCTTAAAAGAATTGTGTGAAAACGATAGTGTGAACCATTATTAATCAGTTTATGCTTATGCTCTAGAGCAGCGATTTTCAACCTTTGTCATCTCATGGCACACATAAACTAACTACTAAAATTTTGCAGCACACCAAAAAATATATTTTTGCCAATCTGTCAAAAAAAAAAAAAAAAGGTGTAAGTTTGATTCATTCATACTGGATGGCTATTGTTGTGTTGGCTGTTGGCATTTTTATTTGAAGGAAAAGAGGTTAGTGCCCCTGATCAAATAGTCAGGTACTGTATGTTTTAAAAAATATTTATTTTATTTTTTATCACCCTCTATCCCCCCACCACCCTCTTCCACCTCTACCCCCACCTCCACCCCCCAGTCACCACACTGTTGTCTGTGTCCATGAATGATGTCTTATTTTTTTTGTTTGTTTTTCACTCAATGACCCCACCTCCTGTAACCCCCCACTCCCATCAGAGCGGTCTGCCTGAAATACTGTTCTAGACAGATAGAATCATATTGATAACATTTTCCAACTGCTCTTGCTCTTTTTGCTTTTCACTTTGGTTTGTCCATCTGGTATCATGACCAGTTTCCTAAAAATGGTTCATTTAGTAAAACTAAATATTATGATAATATCAGCTAGAACACTGATGTTAATGGAAGATTACCAGTCCCTCAATCCCCAAAATAAACTATACTAGTTTGGTAATTATAGTAAGAGCAAAAGTTACAGGCAGCGTCTTTGAAATAACATTTTGAGATTTCTTTTTCTTAAGTAAAGGTGATAGCTGAGTTGTACCAGCTGGACCCTTTTAGTTTAATTTTTATTATTCCTTTCAGTTCTTATTGATACACTTTTGGTGATGTGATCACAGGGGCTAGAAATTTATGATCTAAAACATAGCTAATATTGTTTCAGACCCCTATTAAATTTGAGGTAAAAGTAGATTCAAACGGGGGGGGGGGAGTATAATTCAACAGAAAATAAATGAGCGAGATATGTGGAATTTGGGGTATGATTTGGGGCTTAATATGAAAGGAGAGGCTGAAATTTAGTTGACTGGTGTCCTTCTCAGATAAGCCCTCCAATAATATGAAAACTTTATGATGGTAGAGAAGAGAGGAAGGGGGTCTGTTTAATGCTAGTGATTCATCATATTTGCTTTCCTCTATTCTAGAAAGTACCACCATGTTTATTAGTGGTGGATTACATAGGGCAAACTTTATTCTAGTTGCTAGATTGGGTTTTGCTCATATGAATATGTTAACTAACAGTTTCCTTTAATTAAATTAAATTAAAAATTTTCCCCCTTTATTGATCTTAGAGAGAGAGGAAGTGAGAGGGAGAGAGATAGAAACACCAATGAGAGAGAACATCAATTGGCCACCTCCTGCATGCCCCCCACTGGGGATCGGGCCCACAAGTTGGGCATGTGCCCTGACCAGGAATCGAACTGGCGACCTCTTGGAGCATGGGTCGATGCACAACCACTGAGCCACACCGGCCAGACAGCTTCCTTTAACTTTAAAACTAGAGTGACTGAATTTCCAGTTGTAGTTAAGTGCTGGCTAAGGATTTCCTCATTGCCTCCTATTTAGTTAGCTAGCAGAGATCTTTTCTGAGATACTAGTTTGTAACTGAGTTTTTTTTCTGTTCCCTTTGCAACTTAAATTTTGTCAGGAATATAATTTGTGCTCCAAGGAAATTCTCTGAATTTCTTCAATAACTGTATTAGGCAGCTAAAATGGGAAAAAAAATTTCTTTAGTCTATAATACTTTCCTAAGCATGGCAAAACAATGTTGAGACTTAGTTGATGTAACCAGGACTTTTTTTGAGTCCCTTTTGGTTGTTGAATTTTGCACTCAGTTTATCAGATAACTGCAGAAAGTATATGCCCTTAGGTATGCCTGTCTAAAATAGAAAAGATGAAGAAAAAGGTTAGAACAGAAGAAAAATCATCAGAAGGAAGAGTGTTAAAATTTCATTTAACTTCCCTTGGCTGGTGTGGCTCAGTTAGGTAGGTGTTGTCTTGTGCACCAAAAGGTTACTGGTTTGATTCCCAGTCAGGGCACATGCCTAGGTCACAGGTTCAATCCCCATTGGGGAGGGGGGGAATACAGGAGGCAGCTGAAGGATGTTTTGCTCTTATATCGATGTTTCTCTCCCTTCCTCTCTCTAAAACTCAACTTTAAAAAAAAATCTTTAAAAATAAATAAATAAAATAAAAAGTAATATTAAAAAAGTTTCTTTTAACCTTCATCTTCAGAAATTTAAGCAATTTATTACCTTAAGTGCATGCAATATGCTAATTTTAGGCAAGAGTTTTACAGCCCTCTATTTGGTGCTTCCTTTGCTAAAGAGATCATGGTTTTATTTATTTATTTATTTTTTATTATTGGAATCAAACAAAGACTCAAAGGATATATTAACAATAGGTCTAATTTAGTTTGAAACTTGATGACACTGTTATTTTAATATAATATTGCAGTAGTCTAAGGCACTACTTCTCAAACCCTCATAGGCATGGCATATAAGTTAACTGGGAATCTGATTAATTGGTAGGTCTGGGGCAGGGCCTGATATTATGCATTTTAACAAGCGTTTAGGAGATGCCCATGATGTCCTGAGGCCGCACTTTTGAGTTTGAGGTACCAAAAGGGTCTTTGTTATAAAACAGTTTCTCTTTAAATATGGCCCAAGAGCATAGGATTTAAGGACTGTAAAATGTGGGTTTCACTGTAATTGTTGAATGGAATAAAGATATTTTTAGCAAAAGAAACAAAAAGGTTTAATCTCTCATATTCATCAGTATTTTCATCACTGGGATGGGGAAGAAATAAAATGGGTCCTCACTGGTGGTGTTTTATAATGATATATATGTTTATAGTACTTCTGGGTACTACTAATAATAGACTTATTTATAATGACAAGGCAGGGATTTTGCTCTCATTCGGATTGGTGTGGAAAGAAAAGGGTTAGGAATGCTTGTTACTGGAATCATTTAAGATTTATATGCCCATAATTGGCATCACATTTTAAAAAGTCAAGATTGCCAGATTGTTTTTGTGTGTTTGTAAAATATTACTATTCCCAACATTATATTTGAGCAATAAATCATGAATATAATTAAATTTGCATTAAGGATGTTTGCATTCGATTTTATAAGTCAGGTTTGTTTTCTTTGTATATTTACATAGGTATTTAATATTTTAAAATAATTACCTTCAAATTTTAGAGCTCCAGATTTGGGTACATGAGACAAATACATTTATATTAATATTTTTTAGTTTGTGCTCTTTTGAAACATCATTCAAAGTTTAACTTACTTTTTTTTGTAATTAAAAGTGGATATTTATGGGTCATACAGTGTTTGTTATCTGTGAATAAAAATAATAGACTGTAATCTTAATATGATTTTAACAAAGAGAATTACATGTCAGGTTCCTCTAATGAAACCCAAAACAGTAAAAGTTTACTGTGAGGAATGTATTTCTAAGTTCTGATTGGCGTCCCTCACTTATTGTTCATGTGATTGCTGTGGAATTCTCTACAACAAAATTTCATGCTTTTATTCCAGAGCTCGTTTTGTGATTCTTGTAAAATTTTAAAAAATTGTTAATTAAACTTTTAAAAGTATGCCATATTCTGAAACAAAACTAAATTCAGCCAATTTACATGTTACAGGGTACTTTCTCACTCGGTTCGGTTCGTTTGTCCGCAGGCAGGATCAACAAGACAATTTCTTTTAATGTTTCTTTTTCTGTATGTGATAACATGTTGCTGTGTCTTCTGTGGTTCTTCATAACCTTTCCACTGTTAGATACTTTTAATTGAGAGAAAGGATAAATTGTATTCAATTTTGGGGGGCAGGGGTAGAATGGCAATTGAGAGGTTGTAGGAGAGAGGAAGGCTGTGGGAAGGATGACAGGAAGGAAAAGGGAGAGAGGTACTGTGAAATTTTGTACTACAGCCATTATTGGCTTCTTTCTCTGTCCGTCCTGCACCTCATTCACAGTTAGACAGTGAAGTGCCAAAGTATCTTGTGAAAGCTAAACAGAAGAGCAGAAGAATGGAGACTTGAAATGTTAACAGCTCCTTTATTCTGCTTGATAAGGGAGCCTTTGGAAAAGAACCATTAAACCCCTCAGAATTCATCCAAATGGATCAGTGGGGGCATTTTTCAATTTTCCTCATATATTTATTTTAGAAACACCAAGCGTTCACATCAGAAAATGCTCCTTTTCCTAGTATACCTTAAAACTGGTGTACACACACATATGGGAGTTTTAAGAAGGAAAGGATGGGGTTTATGTGTACTACTGATTTCTTAAAGATAGTATTTGCTTCGGGGACTTTCCTTTCGTCTTCTGTCCTCTTTAGAATACTTTGTTTCACTTGCTAATTTATGGCTCTACTTCTAGGAATTAGGGAGGTTTGGCTTTGCTCTGTTTTGCTCTTAGCCACTGCAAGCTAAGATTGTGATTTCTGTCAATCTGTTTAATTACAAAAAATTCTACCACCAGAACTTTTTGGATACCACATAGTTTCTTGTCAAAGGATTTAACCTTGTAGTAAGAGTGAATTAAAAAGAGCAACTCCTGTCCTTTGACCTTCCGGGAATATTTTTAGAAAACAAAAAATGATTGGGATAGTTTTTGTGATAGCTACTGTATAAATTCAAGATTATTATTTTAATAATCAAGATGAAATCCTGCCTTTGAGAGAGGTCTCTTTTGGGTCAGATCCACAGCCAAATAGGTTAAGAGCTTGGTCTCTAAAGCCCTGCCCTGCCACTTAGCTCTGTGGCTTTGGACATAATTTAAAATATGTGTGGCTCAATCCCCTCATTTGTAAAGTAGGGATGTTAATAGCACCTATTCTAATTGTGAGACTTAACTGAGTTAATGTATGTAAAGCATATAGAATGATTCCTGGAACACATTAACTGCCATATAATGAATGGTTAGCTATTATTAATAACATTTTTGAAAATGTTAATAAAATAAATTATATCAAGTAATTTATTGATATTGACTATACTTGGATTAAAAAGTTGTAGCTTTATACTTTTGTTTTAGGTATATTAACTATTACCTTTTTCTCATTATTTTGTTTACATTTTTGAAGGTTTCCCAATGAGTGGATCATGATGACCGTATTGTAGGGACTTGCCATAGTATGGCTGCTTCCCGATCTACTCGTGTTACAAGATCAACAGTGGGGTTAAACGGCTTGGATGAATCTTTTTGTGGTAGAACTTTAAGGAATCGTAGCATTGCTCACCCTGAAGAAATCTCTTCTCATTCTCAAGTACGATCAAGATCACCAAAGAAGAGACCAGAGCCTGTACAAATTCAGAAGGGAAATAGTAGTGGGACAACTACTAATTTAAAACAGCAGAGTACTCGAGAATCGTGGGTAAGCCCTAGGAAAAGAGGACTTTCTTCTTCTGAAAAAGATAATGTAGAAAGGCAGACTGTGGAAAATTGTGAGAAAAGGCAAACAGAACCTGTTTCACCAGTTTTAAAAAGAATTAAGCGCTGTCTTAGATCTGAAGTACCAAACAGTTCAGAAGAAGATTCACCTATAAAATCAGACAAGGAGTCAGTAGAACAGAGAAGTACAGTAGTGGACAATGATGCAGATTTTCAAGGGACTAAACGAGCTTGTCGATGTCTTATACTGGATGATTGTGAGAAAAGGGAAATTAAAAAGGTGAATGTCAGTGAGGAAGGGCCAGTTAATTCTGCGGTAGTTGAAGAAATCACAGGCTATTTGGCTGTCAATGGTGTTGATGACAGTGATTCAGCTGGTATAAACTCTGATGACTGTCAGCCTGATGGGAACACTAAACCAAACAGCACTGGTTCCTATGTGTTGCAGGAAAAATCAGTAGCTGAAAATGGGGATTCGGACACCCGTACTTCAGTGTTCCTTGATAGTAGGAAGGAGGACAGTTGTATAGACCATAACGTGCCTTGCACGAATTCAGAAGTGCGGGTCAAGTTGGAGGACCACAAAATAGTAACTGCCTGCCTTCCTGTGGAACATGTTAATCAGCTGACTACTGAGCCAGCTACAGGCCCATTTCCTGAAGTTCAGTCATCTTTAAGGGATTCTGAGGAGGAAGTAGATGTGGTGGGAGATAGCAGTGCCTCAAAAGAGCAGTGTAATGAAAACACCAATAACGCCTTGGACTCAAGACTTGAGAGTATGCCAGTCTCCGGAGAACTGGAACCATCTTCTGTTCTAGACTGTGTTTCAGCTCAAACAATGTCTTTGTCAGAACCTCAAGAACATCGATATACTCTGAGAACTTCACCACGAAGGGCGGCCCCTACCAGAAGTAGTCCCACTAAAAACAGTTCTCCTTGCAGAGAAAATGGACAATTTGAGGAGAATAATCTTAGTCCCAATGAAACAAATGCAACTGTTAGTGATAATACGAGTGAATCTCCCACAAATCCTGATGAAATTTCTCAGAATGAAAAAGGGATATGTTGTGACTCTGAAAATTATGGGAGTGAAGGACAAAGTAAGCCACCCTCAGAGGCAAGACTCAATATTGGAAATTTGCCATCTGCCAAAGAGAGTGCCAATCCCCACATTACAGAAGAGGAAGATGATGATCCTGATGTTTATTACTTTGAATCAGATCATGTGGCACTGAAACACAACAAAGAGTATGTGTAAATATGGTAACCATGAATTCTGCTTTGTTTATTATTCCCCAAGTTGTCGGTATTCATAAATGTCTATTCATAGCATTTTTATTACAGCTAAAAGTAAATGCTTTAACTGAAGTTTTAGGTTTACCATAATTTTCTCAACTCATAAAAAAAAAAACCTTCATAAAAAGATAGACATATATACACATATACATATGTATATATATGTTAATCATTTTTACTGTTACAGAGAACGCTTTTGAATTACTATCACAATCAGATTATATAGGCTACATAAAAATACTGATTTGAAGAACCTTTGTAATGCTTTTGTTGTGACAATTGCTAGATCCTAGTATGTATCAGAACAAAGTATCAAATCCTGGTTGTGGAACATAAAAATCATTTTGCCATGCATTACACATAATTCATATTTGTATATGATTTGGTGGCCTTTTAGCATAAGTCTTCTGAAAATTTTCTTCGGTTTATAAATAATATTTTACTACTGGGTTTAATAGAGACGTCATTTTGTCTGAGCATTTTATTCATTCTTTTGTGGAACTTTTTAGCATTTTTATGTATTTGAAATGTTTGAAGTCCAATTTGAGATAGAAAAACAACTCATAATTGAAGTTTTTCCAATTTGAGATAAATTGAGTTATTATCATTAGTACTATGTATCAGTTTTTAAAAGTAGAATTGTTTATCTGCAGGTGCAAGGAAGCAGAGCATATGTCTTGGGGAAATACCAAAAACTCGAGAAATGTGCATTTTTTACAAAATGATATTCTGTTAATTCTATTTCCTTTTTATTTGTTTTTGGCAAAAAGGATGCTCTCTTAAGGTTTTACTGATTAATGATGAAGAAAAATATTTTCCCATGAATTCATTAATGTTACTTTTTGGTAAGGTTTCCCCTCATGCTGATGCTAAAGGATGATGTTCCTGTATAACAGTTGTTAAAGAATGATGTTCCATAGTCCTAAGCTTTGAAAATGAGAGCAGTGCAGTTTCCTGGGTTCCTTGGGATATGTAGTCCTTTGAATTTTGATAATAATTGCTTTATTATTAGCCATGTTATTATTCTCAAATTAGTGCCTTGTTGGGTGACTTTGAGCAAAAGGAAATCACTCCTTGCTTTTTTGCCTTATTTCAAATCTTTTGAAATAGAACCTTTTGACTCTTCACTTTTGACTTTTTTCCCCCCAAAGGAAACAAATGATGAGAAGTGAGGTGGAGAGGGAGCGTCTTGATTAACATTTTATTTAGAGATAATTTAAGGTAAATTGGGTGAGGGTGTTTGATTATGTTGGATGTAATCTATTTCAGTCAAGCCCCTATTTTTTTTTTTTTAATAATGTTTTTATTGATTTTTTAGAGAGAGAGAGGAAGGGAGAGGGAGATAGAATCATTGATGTGAGAGAGAAACATCAATTGGCTGTTTCCTGCATACTTCCCACTGGGGATGGAGCCTGAAACCTGGACATGTGGGCTGACCAGGAATCGAACGGGGACCTCCGTGCATTGGATGACACTCAATCCACTGAGCCACACTGGCCGGATTCAAGTCCCTATTTCTATGCTTTTTGTCTAGAGCAGTGGTTCTCAACCTTCCTAATGCCGCGACCCTTTAATACAGTTTCTTATGTTGTGGTGACCCCCAACCATAAAATTGTTTTTGTTGCTACTTCATAACTGTAATTTTGCTACTATTACGAATCGCCATCTGAAATATGTGTTTTCCAATGGTCTTAGGCGACCCTTGTGAAAGGGTCGTTCGACCCCCAAAGTGGTTGCGACCTACAAGTTGAGAACCGCTGGTCTAGAGCCAAGAGATGGTTGGATGTAATGTTGGCTCTTTTTAACCCAAATTGTCATTGTTAGTAATAGCGTAATGATACTTATCTAAGTGCTTTCAAGTCTCAAATAAATTTCTGGCAGTTTAAAACTGTTAAAAGGCACTTGAGGTAAAGGAAAAATAAAAGACAAATGGGGTAGATGGATTACTGTTCTGTACACACGGATGTACATACACCCTATCAAATATTATTTTTCTTCTTCTCATACTGGAAAATTTCTCCAGATAATTGCTTTTTGAAACTAGGAAATGGGCATTGCCCAGCCTTCACACGAATATCTCTACTACTAGGGAATGAGTACTTCCTGGTAGCCAGTTTAAAAAATACATGTATATTATTAATAAAAAAAAATGAGCATGGCATAGTTCTTTGTCTGGAGCCAGGAGGACGTAGCTCTTTTTTTATTTCAGTTGCTACTATCCTCTAAATTAACATTGATTATTTAATCAGCAACCTTCTATCCTAGCATACAGTCTGCAATTTATTCATCTTGTTTGTGACAATATCACATATAGGATCATGTAATCACTTGTAAATGTTTGAAAAGCTATTGAGTGTAGAGTCTTATCCTTAAACCCATTTCATGGTAATTAGGCCGTAGGCCAGTGAAATGAATTTGCAGATGTTCTGGGTACTTATACCCTGTTTCCTCTCGTCTCCGGGACATAAATCTACAGTGTGCTTTTATATATTTATTTTACCAAATGGGAAACTCCACTGTGAGCAAGGGACTAATGAGTATCTTTTTCTCTGGCAAGATTCCAGCTGTGGATTATTTTACCAGATGTGCCTTCTCAAAGATTAGGGGATGGGGAATCAAAAGAAATATACTTTATCTCAAACGCTTTGATCTTAAGGTTGATGAAATCTGTTATAGTGGTAGATAATACCTAGTGACTCCCTTCTGGACCAAAATAGCCAGACTGACTGAGATTGTGTACTTAACTGTAGATTGCCCTTTCTGTTTGGGAATTGACCTTTTGCTGATTTTTTAATCAGAAAAACTGAAACTGATCTCTCTAAGTTTTGAAGTTCTGGCTCTAGGGAGAGCAGGTGTGGAAGATTTTATAGGTCCTGGGTTCTAACGTTCAGAGTTTTTCTTCCAATTTAGAAGGTAATCACTGGAAAATAAATTTTCAGATAAAAATGTGATTTGGTCTCTTGCCTCTGAATTCTCATTGTACAAGAATATTTTAAAGTATATATATTTGAAGGGCCTTAGAAAGCTTTGTTAAATGATTTAACCTTTCATGGACCAGAAAGGAGGTGAAAAGTCAGCTTTAGGGTTACTAGATTCTTGAGGTCTTTTGGTAAGAGCCTTATTTCCAAGCCATATTAAAGAATATTTATAAAAATTGTAGTTTCAGATTTGGTCCTCTGAAAATGTTAATGTACTAAATAATTATGTCCTTCTAGTGAACCATACTTAAGATGAGTCATTTGATATCTTCATCAATTTGAGAAGTCTATAGAGAAAGTCCTCATCAGTTATTTAGATTCACTTCCTCTCAGACTACTTCTAATGTTTGTGAAACGTAAATTCTTTCATGACTGGGGATGGATTTTGCTTAGAAAGCACTAAAGGAGTCATCCTGGAGTCATCTATTTGATATAACAACTCTTAAGTAGACAACATAGGTGCATTGTATAATTCACATTTCCTAACTCATAATTAATGTTTTTAGGTTATTTAAAGTATCATGATAAATTGATGGTAGAAATGGGATTAGAGTTACTGCTTTCTAATTCATAGTCTGGCGTGGCTGGAGTGGCTCAGTGAGCATCGATCCATGCACCAAGAGGTCACTGGTTTGGTTCCTGGTCAGGGCACATGCCCTGGTTGTGGACCAAATTCCCAGTTGGGGGGCGGGGCACACAGTAGGCAGCTAGTCAATGTTCTCTCACTTTGATGTTTCTCTCGCTCCCTTTGTGCCTGAAGATAAATGGAAAAATATCCTCAGGTGAGATTAAAAGATAAAATAAAAATAAAGTCAATAAAGAAAAAAAAAATTTTAAACTAATTCATAGTCTGAACTACATGTGGATAATTCATCCAATAAGGACTTATTCCATGGACTTTGGAGTTTCTAGGTTAAGATTTCTCATGGAGCAGATCTTGAATACTCAGTTTTCAAAACTCTTTAGCCCTAGTTTGAACTCTGTAACTGTCATCATGATTATTTGGTTTTGTCTGTCAGAGAAGCAGCATTGTAGGTAAGTAACCTGTTCTATTTATTGAATGAAATACTTTCACGTTCATTGTAAAGAACAGTTTGTTAATATATCTGTGAAGAATAATTGGCATGTACAAATGGAAATAAACTACAGCTATATCTTGACTTTAAATAGAGGATTTGGATAGTTTTCAAAAAAATACTTGGAGGCATTTAGAATGCAGTTAGGTATATTAAAGTCAAAGGTTACTAGGGAAAACTCAAGCTTGGTGTACTTTTTCAACTCATTGGAAAAGGCTATGAAGTATAATAGCCAAATTGGTTGGCCCCTCTAGTTGGGCTCAATTAATAATGGCACGAGGGAGATAAGTGTCCTAAGTATAAAATTTATGGTTGAAAGTAGAGTAAGTCATTGATGAATCAGAATATTCAGTGAATTCGTTTTTTCCTTTGAATACCAACATTTTAAATTTCAACTGTCAGTGTTTTCTAAAAACAATTCTCTGCTGTAATCCAAATATATTTGTACTTAAGTATAATTTAACCTTTTCTTCTTGACTTAGGGCCATCTTTATGGACACAGGTTAGGTAGTGGAACTTTTCTTGCATAACCGCTACTAGAATAGGTCTGTTTTCGCCTATGGTAAAGGATTTGGGCTTGTCTGCCTTTTTAGTTCTTATAATTTGACTTCTTTTCTAAATTCTGTGGCTTCCTATAATTCTCTTCATATTCATTTTTGTTGGCTTTCATTAGTCACTTGTGTTATCATGGTTCCTTCCTCTGATAACTCATCCTTCCCTTCTAAGTGACTGCTTTTAGTTCTCTTTAAACTTGGAAATCAAAATAACCAAGCTTGTCAGAATTATGTCACTTGATTCTTGAATGGTGCACTGAAGAATTTATCTTTGAATGTACAGATAAGTATTAGTGCATGGGATGTTTGTTTTAATTGAGTGATTTTTTTTTTTTTCTTTTTGC